GAATAATATTCCATTGTATGTATATACCACATTTTCTTTACCTCTTCATCCATTGAGAGACATTTAGATTGTTTCCACATCTTAGCTATTATGAATTGTGTGGCAATGAACATGGGAGCATTCAGATCTCTTTGAGATCCTGATTTCAGTTCTTTTGGATAAATACCCAGAAGTAGGATTGCTGGATCATATGGTAGCTCTATTTTTAATTTATTGATAAACCACCATACTGTTTTCTGTGATGGCTGTATCAATTTGCATTCTTACCAACAGTATACGAGAGTTCCCTTTTCTCCACATCCTTGCCAACATTTGTTTTTTTGTTTTTTTAATAATGGCCATCCTAACAGGTATGAGATGATAACTCATTGTGGTTTTGATTTGCATTTCCCTGGTGATTAGTCATGTTGAGCATCTTTTCATATACCTGTTGGCTATTTGTATGTCTTCTTTGTAGAAATGTTTATTCAAGTCCTTTGCCCTTTTTAAAATTCAGTTATTTGTTTTTTTACTATTGAGTTGTAAGAGTTCCTTATATATTATGGATATTAACTCCTTATCAGATATGTTGTCTGCAAATTTTTTCTCCCATACCATAGGTTGCCTTTTCACTCTGTTGATTGTTTCCTTTGCTGTGCAGAAGCTTTTTAGTTTGTAGTCTTACCTATCTATTTTTGTTTTTGTTGCCTATACTTTCGGCATCATATCCATGAAATCATTGTCAAGACTAACGTTATGAAGCTTTCCACCTATGTATTCTTCAGGAGTCTTACAGTTTCAGGTCTTACGTTTATGTCTTTAATCTGTTTTGAGTTGATTTTTGTGTATGGTGTAAGATAAGGGTCCAATTTCACTCTTTTGCACATGGATAGTCAGTTTTCCAGGCACCATTTATTGAAGAGACTATCTTTCCCTATTGTGTATTCCCGGCACCCTTGTCAAAGATCAGTTGACCATGTATTTGTGGGTTTATTTCTGGGCTCTCTATTAGGTTCCGTTGGTCTATGTGTCTGTCTTTATGCCAGTTCCATACTGTTTTGATTACTAGCTATATAACACGTTTTGAAATCAGAAAGTGTGAGATCTCTAGCTTTGTTCTTTTTCAAGATTGCTTTGGTTATTCAGTGTCTTTTGTGGTTCCATATGAATTTTAGGATGTCTTTTTTCTATTTCTATTGAACCTGCAGATCGCTTTGGGTAGTGTGGACATTTTAACAATGTTAAGTCTTCCAATCCATGAGCATGGGATGTTTATCCATTTTTTTTGTGTCCACAAAAACACTGTTAGAACTAATAAATGAATTCAGTAAAGTTGCAGGGTACAAAATAAATACATAAAAATCAGTTGCATTTGTATATACTAACAACGAACAATCCAAAAATGAAATTAAGAAAACAATCTTATTTACAATAGCATCAAAAAGAATAAAATACTTAGGAATAAACTTAACCAAAGGGATGAAAGACTTGTACACTGAAAACTACAAAACATTGCTGAACTCCTTTTAACAAAACTTGACCTGCTCTCTTAGGACCCCGCTAGGTCATGAATAGCCTAATCTGGTAGATAAATTCAAACTTAGTTATAAATGGCTTACAGATTTATCCTTCCCACATATTGACCAGGAGTATCTTAACCCAAAGGTTTGTGTAATAAGGTAATACTGACTGGACTGCCTGCAGGTAAAATATTTTAAAATAAATATTTAAAAGATTGTAAAGTGTAACACTTGATTGCCCTATCGAACATAAAACCAGCATTTTTGTTTTTTTTGCATCAACATTTGGGCAAAATCACATACATATTATCAGGTATAAACACAAATAGTTATTCTTGGAAAAGATCTCTGAAATTATACTGTAATTCAGTGAGAAGACATTTTAGATTTCCTCATGTTGTATACATACACAACTTTTCAGTGAGTCTGGGAAAATATACTTTGGGGGAAGTACAATAATAAGGGAATGGAACTTTTTTGATCACATACCATGTGCTAGATAATTTGCATATATATTTCATTTAGTCCCTTTTCAAACTCTATGAGGTAGATGTTTGTCTCCTTTTACAGATGTGGAAATTAAAGCTCAGGGAAGTAGCGCCCAGGTTCACTCTTAATGTAAGTGTGGATTTGAAGCTGCGTCTGCTCGAAGCCTGTTCTTTTCCCTTTACACACCAGGTGGCCAGCCAGGGAATTAGTGGTGTAGAAAGGAGGGTGATAAGATCTGAAACCTGAGTGCAGCCTTGTGAATTATAAGCTGCCCCATCCAGTGAAGGCTTCCTGTGAGGGTTGAGCTTGAAGAAACTGCTTGATATTCCTGAGCTGGAAAATTTTCAGTAACCTCCAAATTTACAGTCAAAAGTCAGGTTAAGGTAGTGGAGAAATTAATCTTATGGGTTGCTTCACTGTCTCAGGTGCATCTTGTGCTCTTCAGATCACTGAATAGGTCCTCCAGGGGTAGGTAGGCCTGGGGGCCTCAGGATGGCTTTAAGAAGCAGCAAGTGTCCTCTGAACACTGAGGACACTCTGTCATGGGGATCACAGAAGAATCTAGTCTACATGCTTTTTGTTTGTTTTTTTAATAGAAACCACTTCAGTTTTATAAAAAGAGCATCCCTTCTCTCCACAGTTACTGAGCCCCAAAGGTTCTAGTTGTGTAAGGGGAACTTGGCTGAGTGACTTCAAATGTTCTCAAGTGTCTAAAGATCCTTTTGTTTTTCCTTAATGTGCCCTCACTGTCATTTATTCTGCTTTCCTGGGAACATCAGTACGCCTCATTCTCTAGCTTTTCAGCTCATGATAAATTTATTATTAACCAAAGGCCAGCCTTATGCCTTAGTATGGCAACTAGTGAGCAGCCTTTAAAAAACAATTTAAAGGCAATTAAATGCATTTAGGGGTGAATAGTATAACAGACATGAGCCCTAAAACTTTTTGTAATTGGCATGGAATTCTGTCATGTGCCAAAATATGATTACATTATCATCTGGTGTCTCGCTGTTGGTTTATTAAAACTGGATCTAAAAAATGTCATAATCTTTTGTCCTGATAGCAGACCTATTATGACAAAACTCCTCTGGCAGTGTCCTTATGAAAGGCTTTTCCATGCAGTTATTATCCCACTGTGTCCCAGCAGAACAACCAATGGTGGCTTGACAAAGACTCACAGAACCTCCAGGGCCACTGGCGGCCCACTTTCCACGCTGTCAGTCCCAGCAAAACCCTTTCCTGCTTTGTCCCCTCGCACGCAAAATGGCCACTTGCTGTGGGATGAGCCTTATCATAATGGGTGGTAGAAAGAGGTCCAGGGCAGTTTCCTGTTGGTCGTGTGCTGAGGCAGGATAGGGTACAGCCCTGGGGATGGGTTTTGGAGTATCCTCTGACCAATTCTTTTTTGTCCTAATGAAAAACTTCCTGGCTTCTAATATTGCTACTCTCATTGGGGTCATTCTGATTCACTGTAAATTTAATAGGTAGCAGGCAGATAGACATTTTTCTGACCCTCTCTTCCCATCCTTTTTGCACCTTCTGCACCCTTTCTTTCTTTTAGCAAAGGAAGGAGAAGACACACACTTAGATCCCCCATACCACACCCACTTCTTTTTTGGCACCTGGTGACCATCAGGAAAACCTGATAAACTTGGAAGGGTTGCTTCCCCATCACCCTCAGAGCTGGAGAAATTATTTCATGCTAACTTCATCCGTGGGATTTGAGAAAGGGAGCGTGCTCCCAAGCGCAAACAGGAAAGCCTGACATCACGGAGCGGCGGAGTGGCGTGGGAGGAGTCTGCGGCGCCCGCGCTCGCTCGCTCCCTCGCCGCGCTCCCTTTGTGGCCCGATCGCGCGCGGCGGCGGCGGCGGGGCAGCGCGGCGCGAGGCTGTGCTCGGGCGGGCGCGCGGGGCGGCGGGCTGAGCGCGGCCGGGACAGCGATTGCCTCGGAGCAGGGCGCATCATGCCGCGTCCACGTACCGAAGAGAAAACTGAGAATGAAATTGCTTTGGCAAGCTAAAATGGTAACGCGAGCTCTCTGACTTCTCCCGAGGCTTCTCTGGTGGGGAATCTTCTCCCGCTTTCTCTGGGCGTGTTTTGGACTCACTCGGAGTGAACGGAGCAATCCGATCCCATACTTGTGAGCTACAGCTTTCTCACTCTGCTTTGTGTGTCTCCCTCCCTGCGTGTCTTCTCCCCTGAAAAGATGCCTGCTTTCTCGGTAACTGCCTTTGGTGCGACTGCGGCAGATGTGTCAGGAAAGGACAACTTTTTAAGGAAAGAGAAACTGTAGTTCGGGTGAAGCGCGGAGCGTTTCTGCGTCCCCGAGGCTCTTTAACACGAACTTGAAGTTTAGCTGGGGACATGGAACTCCGTGGGGTCGCTGCACACATTTTACTCGAAGCTGCACGATGATGTGTTTCTGCTTCTGCACTTGCCAGATTATTTTACGGAAATAAAAACTTTCTACGCCCCCGCTAACTTTTTGGGTCCCAAAACAATAAGAGGAGAAAGAGACATGGGAAGCATTTTACTTCCAAAGGAGTGAGGACTCTTGGCATTTTAAACACTTGTTTGTGCCTGAGTTTAAAATGTAGTTTGCTCAAATAACTGGGCCACTTAGAAAAGTAATTGGCTTTTCTACAAATGAATTATTTTTCCTTTCGCTTAAGGAGGAAAAGTTAATCAGGATTAAACTACAGTTTCTTTAAGAAGGGAAAAAAAGACTTTAAAAAACTATTTAAGATATGTGAGCGGGTCTAGGAAAAATAACTAAATGGAAAAGTCGGGGGATCCTGATACCACAGGGAAGGGCAGGGGTCCAAGAAAATCTCAGCATTCCGTCTATCGCAATGTGTCTTGTATTGCTCTGATTGTAATATTTATTTTGAACAGCCCGTCTTGTGCCCTTAGTGCTCGTGTAAGCAGCATAGCAGCTGGGCTAGATTGTGGTTAGCAGAGAGGAAAAAAAAAATACTCTTTTTCTTTCTCTTTATCCCATCCCCTGGCAGAGCTCGATTCAGGACTGGGGTGAAGAGGTAGAGGAAGGAGCTGTTTACCATGTCACCCTCAAAAGAGTCCAGATTCAACAGGCTGCCAATAAAGGAGCAAGATGGCTAGGGGTGAGTAAAGCTGGAGAGATTGTGAACTTTGGAGCTGCAGTGTCTGTTTTCCTGTGAATATCATTATAAAGCAGAGGCAGGCTTTTTTTTTCTTCTTCTTCTTCTTCTCTTTTGGCCTTAAAAAGGAAACTGCCAATGACCAAGTGTTTGCACTAGCTGTACAGGTCTGTTTTTGTACTTAATGTTTTCCAAAGCTTCTTCCCTAGGTTTGTCAATAATTCAGAACCTCTTAGAAACATCTTGAGGTATTTGGCAAATAGAGTGGGAGCGGAGCAGTGGAAAGTGACACAGAGGAACAGGACCAGAAAGCAAGTACTCTGTTAGACAAGAGCCATATGCAGTTTTGCCCAGCTGGCACCCTTCTCTCTCCCCGTCGTCCCTCTATTGATGCTGACACACCTTTCCTACTGCAGTACCTTTACATACTACCCAGAATGCTCAGGGGACAGAGCATTCCAAATCTGCTTCCTATGCAGGTGGCAGCTTTTCCATTGATACCTCCTTTCTACAGCCCGTGAGGAGGCGAATGCATGCTTAGTGCCCAGGACTTCATGTATAGTGTGCATACAGTGCTGGGTCTTTGGAGAAACGCTGCTTCCATACGTAAGATTTGTTTTTCCACTGAGATTCTAAAATAACTCACATGGGTGGGACCACGTGAGTTATCTGTTATCGCCTAATGGATCCTTCCACACATCCCAAATAAGGGGATATGAGAAATGGAAAGCTTGGCGACAGGATCACTACTTGGGCAAACATCCACATGCAGAAGAAGGAAGGAATTCTTGATCTGGAGATAGGAGTAATCCTCAGAGAGAGCAGTGAGAGGTGCCGTAAAAAGCCTTGAGAAAGAAAATAAGGGTCGGCTGAATAGAGGGGATGGGGTGTGGTTTCACCTGCCCTTGTTCTAGCCACACCCAGGCTTCACAGGTGATGGGTTGAGAGCAATGAAGATTAAGCCTTTGCATTTTTTTGGGTTTCAGGAAATTCAGAGCACTTTGAGCAGCATTCAAAGGTGGGGTATGAAGGAGGACAGGAAAGAAAACTGCCCAGGGCCTCACATTAAGACTAGAGGCAGCATGTGACTTGTAATGACTGGAGTTTAAGGCAGGATGGCCAGCAGCAGTGATTTCCTTTGCCACGGGTCTGCTGACACAGGCATTCATTGCTTTTGGCTTCCCCAGCTGCTTCAACTCAGGCCTTTGCTGCTCTGTACTTTGGGCTGAGGTGCCACCCACCAGGGCTGTAAACTGTTAGTGACATCTGCAGGTATGGTCTGGAAAGGTAGGAAGGAACCTTGCCTTTGAAAACCTGAGGTCTTTACTTATCAAGTAGGTGCCTTACTCAGTATATGATTTTAAAATTAGTTAGATGCGTCACCAGCAGACCTGATAGGAAAAGCAGCACTGGAGTTCTGACAAGTCATCGCTTCGTTTTTGGTTGTTGTGTATACGCATTTTATTTAAATGTGGTGTTGATGTGGTTTGGCTTGTCAGGGTATTTCAAAATGATTCACAAGTTCTGAACCAGCGCCTTCAAAAGGATCATTCCATTTTCTGATGCCAGGTTCTTCCTCCCTTTCTAATGTGACTGATGTTGCTTGGGTGACAGTTTTAGCTTTTAGCCAAACACAATAGCAATGAATGAGTAAGTCACGGGGACCTGGAGACGTTAACTCTCTAGGTCCCAAACACACAGAGTATGCTCCGTTTAGGTGTTCACAGTTATTCAGTAATCCTCACTGACCTGTTCACTGGACTCCACTTCTCTTGTCTCCCCCCTCTTCCAGTGTTCTCAAGTTTATATAGAATTCACAGTTGGTGCACCCTCCATTTAGCAGTAGAGCTGAAATATTGAGAGGGAAGATAATGTACAAAGATTGCTTTTAGTTGATGGAGGAATCTGTCTCTTCCCCTCCTTTCAGCGAAGTGTCGTTTGCTGCTACCACCCCCGTCCTCCAGAGCAAGTTCTTAGGGCCTCTCCAGCTCTGATCCCACTTGTTTTGTTGTCTTAGGTATCCTGTTGGGAAGCTCTGTTTTTGTCCTTGGAAATTCCAGACTTAATTAAATGTGACTCAACCAATTGAGCCATAGCAATTAGAAAACCTTTCTCTTTAGGACTGAGTGGCTTCTCTATATTTGTTTTCCTACATCCCAGTAACCCTTTAAAAATTCTTCAAAGCAACCAGTTGTAGAGTGAACTAGAGATTGAGGTGCCATGAGGGTATTACTGAAATATGACAACAACCTTATGAGGAAGGTGGTATCGTGATTACCTCTTTTTTTCCACACCAGGAAATGAATGCCCAGACAGGTTAAATTGCTTGCCAGGGTCAGACAGCTGTAAAGTGGTGGAGCCTGGTCTGGAACCCAGATGGTTAGTTCTTTGCCATGAGGAGCTGCCTGGGGCCTTAAGGCTGTTTCCATAGCAATGGAAGAGAACGTTGACTCAGAAGAGCAAGGATGCATATGGTGTACTTTCCCCCTAGATGTTGCACCTGATGCAGGACTTGAGCAATATGGTTTTCCTTCATGTTTTGAATGATAACTTGAGCTACAAGTTGAGATAATTTGTTATGAAGATGTGAGTCTTATTGATAAGCTCTCCGTTTTGGATGTGTAAAGTATGGTGCACCAAAGATGCATACGAGGTTATGTAGCACCTGAGGGCGGCCATAGCTCTCATTACATGTCTGTAAGCCGTATTCGAAAAGCGTAAAAGACTGAGTACAATTTCTGTATTTTCTTGTAGATCTCAAAACATAATTAAGATTCACTTGGGAAGGATAGCAAAATAATTACGCATCCTTAGGTATGAAGTATCATACAATCCAAAACATTTAGGACATTCTTTTTTGTTTTGTTTGTTTAATTTTGTGTTCACTTGATCTTTTGAAGTAAAACCCTCTGTCTTTGACTGTAAAATATACAACCAAGTATGGCCCAGGCCAGGTTTTCTTATACACGTCAGTGCCTTGCCCATTGACAGTGAGGTTATGTTGGGCAACTTTGCAAAACCAAGGATTATTGAAGTACTGACCCAATTTTTCCTGTACAGTGATATCTTAGACTGGGATAATTTTATCTGGCTCTAGCCCTCAAAGAAAAATGGCTCCGATTATGTCATAGAATCATAAAATTTCAGGATTGGAAGAGACATTAAAAAGTAATTTCACCAATCATTCAGTTAGCTTGCAGAATGTCCAGTGATTTTTGCAAGAGCAAATGGTCAAAACTTAGGATTTTTCTTTGGTCCCAGCATTGTGGTTATACATTGACAGTGATATGTAGTAATGATTTAAGAAAATAGCAGTATTCTCTGGAAGCTGGAAATGTACCATTTTAGGAAGAATACTCAAATAGACTCGGAGAAAGGATCCAACTGTTAGGGAAGGGGCTTTGGTGTCAAGAACCCATTCTCTTGTCTTCAGAATATGGCAGATAAAGGGTCCAGAAGAATGTGTCAAACCTAAGATAAGTTCAAAGTGCGGATATTTGCTTCATGGGCAGAATCATAGTTCTGGATCACTTCTGCGAAGTTTGTGGGAAGTAGAATGGTCAGTGGATAGTCAGATAGCTTTTCTCAGTTCTGTGCTTCCATGGATGTGTGGTCCTTGTGGTGGGGCCCCAGTGCCTCCCTACCCTACATCCTGTATTTATCACACTGTCTCCCTCATAGGCCCTATGTGGGGTTGAGTTGAAATGCTTCATAGCTGGGAGGCTGGAAAAGATAGTGGAATAAGACAGGAGAAAGAATACATTTAGAAATGAAAGGAACTGGAAATCTGTTACAGAGCCTAGTGTTTAGGGTGAATTGTGTCCAGTCCATAGGTTATACGGGTGCAGTGGTAAGAGAACCACATGTCACACCTGGATCGAGAAGTTGATTCTCCCTTGAATACACTATTTGGATCGACTCTACCAGGTGTTTCACTGACGTTGCTCTCCATATTGCCTTCAAGTGGCATACAGGTCCTCGAGTTTTCAGCTAACTTCACTTCTGGGAAGCTTCTCTATGTCCCAGGTCTGGAGGAGGTACCCTTCTTCGTGTTCCAGAAGCATTCTCTCTCTCTCTGTCTTGCATTTACCTCACTCTATTGTAATTGCCTGTTCATTTGTGTCCCCCACTAGACTGTAAGCTTGGTGAGGGGGGACTGTGGCCATCTAGTTGGCAGAAACCCAATAAATATTTGTTGAATGAATGGATCAAGGTTCATCCCTTTTTGGGGGACTAATATTGTCTTGATAAATGTCGATGTATGGTTGCTCCTTATTTAAAACAAAATCAGCATGAAGGTGTTAGCTGATAAAAAAGAGGAGGGGAGTGTGGGAGCGAGAAAAATCAATTAGGTAATGATTATAGCTATCTCACATCCTTTCTGGAACAAAGCAGGGCACAAAGAAAGGTAGTGATTATTCATTTTAACAAAAACATTCATGGCAGTGAATTAACCAGACAATTCCCCAGTGCCTTTTAAATGCAAGAAGTCCAACTGTACTTGTCTTATTGCTGAATGTCGAAGAAGGAACGGCTATGCGCGAGTTAAAAAGTGTTGGCAAGCATTAGTTACGTGTGATGGGAAAGCCCAGGAGCGGGATTTTAGAATGGTAAGGAGATAAGCCTAGAGGAGCCCTTAGTTTACAGTTGATCATCCTTGTTTTCATCTAGGAAAACAGGCCCTTGGGTTGCATTATTCTTGTTTATTGGAATGTTTAATTTAGGCTTTAGAAAATAAATTAAAAAATTTAGCAACCATCTCTAAATGAACCAACTGGTGTTTTTTCATTTTGACCTTGGGAACGTGTTTCTGAAATAATCCAATAATATGGTAGCCTACACCAATCAAGAAAATAGAGTAGATTTCAATTGCCTGAGACATGGTTATTAAGTTGGGTCCTTTCACTGCTTTCAAAATCTGTTGGGATCTGAGTAAGAGACACTTAGCATATCATCAAGAATATTCATTTCAGTTCGGCAGTCCAGGGGACACTCGATTGAGT